TTGAAGGTTGTAGTGCTTGATCTTCTGCAGCAAGCACCTTAAGTCCTCTTTACTTTCAGGAAGCAAGGTGCGTCATCTGCTTCTCACAGGTTGTTGATGAGTCTGCCTCCGGTTCTGATGCCCCATTCTTCTTTATAGGAGAGCAGAGCTGAAATGTGCGTGGACTCTGGTGTCACCCACTGTATCGGCCTTGTGCTCCCCTGCTCTCCAACTTTCTCACCTCCTGACTACTTGTCCTGGAACTACTGGTTCGTCACCACCACTCAACAAGTCTGCCCCTTGCCAAAATCAACAACACCCTCTGATAAGTTAACTCGGGAAGCCTGCTTCAGTCCTTGTCTGAGTCTCTTGGGCTACCGGAGCAAAAGTCCACAAAGTGGGGGCTTAAAACAATGGGTATCTCTTGTCTGATAGTTCTAGGGACCAGAAGTCCAAATGCAAGCTGTCAGGAGGGCCGTACTCTTCCTGAAGGTTCTAGGGGGAGATCCTTTCCTGCCTGTCCCGGCTGCAGGAAGCTGCTGGTCGTCTTCAGCATTCTTTAACGTGTACACACTTCACTCCAGTTTCTGCCTCTGTGGCCAAGTGCCCACCCCCTCTCTGGGCTTACTCTAGCACAAGGTTCATTACAAGCAATTGCTATTACTCGCTTAACGCCCTCCTCTCTGACAGAAACGACTTGAGGCAGGGATGTGCCTGGTTTGTGGGGCCCTGGGCTCTGTTACCACTCACCTCTAATGTCCTATCAGCCCTAGGATCCCCAAGTGCCAGGACCCAGTGGCCGGCGATCCTGGGCTCAGCGCGGGCAGCCTGACAGTCAGTCCCACCACGGCTGCATACACCCTGAGGAGACGGTGCAGGACGTTGCTGGAGATGCCAGTCCTGTGATTCTAGAAGACAGCATGTTTGTCTTTAAAAACATCCGAGAAAGCAGACGGTCAGGTCCACTCAACATGGCAGCCTAGCACAAAACTGCAGCCAGGGCTCGGGTTATTACTGCTGGCAGCTAGCCTTCACGTTAAACCCTCGAACGCAGCACCAACTCTCAGGTCATCGCCACGGTCATCGCTGCCAGGGCATTTCCGAGTCCCGAGCAGTCACTTCCAATGCTGGAGGCTGGCCCAGAGGGTGCTGGGACCCCCCTGTGACCGCACTCACACCAGTACCTGGGGGTCCTGCGGGGCTTTGAGCCCTCTTCCTCCCTGGGAGGCCAGCACGTTATTACCCTCTGAGGAGTCGCTGGCCCTTGCTGCCTCCAAATCCAGGAAGCAGAGCTGGGCAAAGCTTGAGTGTCATATCCCACCTAGGTGGGGTACAGGGCACAGTACTTCCCTCCCGCACTAGCAGATCACCTTCTAGCAACCAGGGGCCAGGTGACAGGCATGCTGCTAACACGATCCCACCCAGGACGCGTCCTTAGGCGCCATCTGACGTTTGCACAGATAGATGTGGTCTCCTGGAAGTCGCAGAGCACCAAGATGGACGAGGCCAGGCCAAGTGAATGCCAGCGCTCTTTATTATTGATGGTGATTGTCTTGTACAGAAAGACACAACAATCAGCACAGAAAGAGAGAAAAATCAGTGAAGTTGCTCCCCATCACTGGGTGCATGGCTGTCTCAGCCAAAGCCGACACCACACACGCACATGAGCAAGTTTCAGACGAATTCGGTTCCCGTCACAGACTCAGATGCACACACACTGTCACAAATTCACAACACAAAGAGCGAGCCAGGGGTGGGGGCAGGGCTTGGGGGAGGAGGGCAAGTCGTTGGGGGCCCTGGGAGGGGGAGGGGAAGGCAGGGACCACCAGGCACTGAGCAGCCCAGGGCCACAGCTCTTGGCCGTGGAAGTTCTTGTCAGAGGCAGAGAGAGGCTTCCTGACCACCAGCCCATGAAAGAAAAGCCTCCTGCCTGGCGGTGAATGAGCGGAATCTCTGCTTTCCAGAGGCTTGGAGAGTGACAAAGCCGGGCCCAGGTGGCCCTCAGGAGAGTTCATGGGCTGCTTCGGGCAGGTAAAGGAGGTCCCCACAGGCTCATTGCTTCATCTCACACAGAAGACCCCAAAACTGTACTGCAGAAGAGGAGATTTCCAGTATTTTCACTCAACAAGACAGACAGATAACTGGGTTCTCTTAAGTTGCAATTTGCTGAAGGTTCGGAATTAGTGGGCTTCAAATTGATGAGGTTCGACTAGCATCACAGGCAGTCTGATTACAGTACTTTGTGAAAAGAGCTAATTACACTGATTACTATTAGCAGAGTGTCACAGGGAGTGTGTGTGTTTCTTAATCAACACAGGCCTGGAATGGAGCCTCGTCACTTGTCAGGCTGCAACTCAAGTAGGCCCGTGGGCCACGAGGCCACGCTCGGCTGTGGGGTGCGAGTGCCACCAGGACAGATGCACACACGCCCAGAGGGACAAGCGGCTTGTGGGGAGCCTCGCCTGCTCGCTCGCTCTCTCTTGAACAACAGGACATTTTCAAAGCTGTGTTGGCTCCCCCTCCCCATCTCATGGGACGTCATTTGGTCACAAGTTCTACTCTGGCCTGGGGTCGGTGTCCTCTGTCCACCTAGAGATACAAACCGTCTGGTTCCAGCAATGCAAAAGGTGTTGTCTCACTCAACATCCCTCCCACTTGGACCACCGAGAGGCGACGCCCAAAAAGAATAAGGAAGAACATAGGGAACCGATTCCCGATTTCCTGCCAAATTCTCAGGCACCGAGCTGTGGAAACCTCGCAGATGTGATGATGGTCGATCTTGCTTTACAAAGTCTGAGAGGTTTTGGTTTACAACGTGTGACCATCTTGTGTCAAAGGATTTTTCTGAAGCGTTTTCTGTTATGCATCACCCCCAAAGTCAACAGTCGCGTGTCTTTCCACAGAAAAAATGGAAAGAGGCCCCGAAGTGCTCAGTGGGAACAAGTTGAAGCCAGGGCACCCCACCAGAAAGGAGTGGCCCCCAAAAGTTAAGCTTGCTTCCCTGTCTCACCCCAACACACACACACACACACACACACACACACACACACCCTCTGCTATTGTTTCAGAGACATGTGACGAAAGGCAACATGCACATATGCACACACACAAATTCACAGGCCTCAAGACAACAAAAGTGTGGCTACTTAAAAGCTCTTCTTATCATATCAATTTCACGCCCACACAAAGACGGAGCTTGAAAAGTTGGGACAGGGCATTCTAAAACCTAGCTGTGCACCCCAAGAGTCACGCCCAGTGGGTACTGCACAGTCTTCTCCCCACGATATGCTTCTCAGCATCCCAGAGACCCTAAGTCCTCCTCCAGGAATGAAGCTGGCTGACTGCCAGGCCTCAGTTGCACCAAGAGCCACGGACCTGTCCTCTGTGGGCCATTCTCCAAGTACCTGCTTTCCTGCTCTCTCCTCCGCAGCCCCGAGCTGTCCTGGGGCTGGGCAGAGGACTCCGCAGAGGTGGTGGGTGGTGGGCACAGCTTCGTGGACTCCCTTTGGCTCTGGTTAGTGGGGCCCAAGCCTGATTTTCCACACAGGCTTCCAGATCACATGCAGCCATGGTTCTGCGGAAACCTCCACCGTGGTCTCCACCGTGGAGAAAGAAGGGCCCTTTGAGCTCCCACCTTCCTTGGGGGAAAGGGCAGAGTGCAATGCTAGAGGCCCAGAGGAAAGAAACAACGAAAAGAACGGTGACAGGCCGCCTGGTCAGCACCACCGGCGTTACGGAGACCTTGGGTTTGGGGACGTGACTGGCAGGAGATTGACTTCCCATAGAGTATCAACATTTTCAGCTTGGTGCACACCAACCTCTCAGAGACGTGTGAAACCCAGCTAAGGTCATTCCCTGTGAACTTACATCTTTCTAGAAGTATCTTAAGAACAAAGCTTACAGGCTCCTTTAAACATATCACACACTTGAGTTCAGTCTGCACCAGGCCCGTGAGGTAGGGAGAAGGAGATGCCCAGCCCTGGGCCTTGTTATCCATGCTTGGGGCCTCACTGGACCAGGAACACAGGCCCTCCAATTCAAAATACATCTCCTGGAAGGCCCCCAAGGTCAGGAGGGGCTCCAGAAATCGCTGGAAACCTCGAGACGGTGGGATTGCAGTCTAGGGTCAACCCCCCACCCCTGCATGCGTGCCTAGGAGAGCTCCTCACTGAGCAAGAAGCTTATTGGGTCTCTGTGGTTTGAACCGCTGACTGGCCATTCTTCAGGGCCCTGGAAAGATGTGCTACATCTCCAAAGCACCACAGACATCAAAAGGTCAGGAAGATGGAGGGGTGGGGTGGAGGGACCACGGACCGAGATTTCTAGACAGAAACTAGCTCCTGGCGATGGCAAAGCAAACCATGAACGGCCTTTGACCACGGTCCGAGGTTTCTGGACAGAAACTAGCTCCTGGTGATGGCAGAGCAACCCATGAACGGCCTTTGCGCCCCAGCTCGTGGGCTCTCCCACATCTGCTCTCAGCTATAAGGATGGGGAGAGAGAGGGCCATGCCAAGGCGAACCTTGGACACGGACTGGGGCTGAGCAGTCAGCTGGTCACAGTGAAAGGGCCGTGTTTGGGTTTGGGGGAGTTCGAAGGAAGGGCACAGGACATACTGTTTTGCTGTATTCCTTACTCCATTTTGTTTGTGCTGCAGACACTTAGTCACTTCTTTTCCCTGTCCTCAAATTCCAGCCAGGAAACAAAGCACAGGAACCTTAGAGAGACGGGCTGGTGACAAACTGAACTCTTACCCAGACCTAGGCGTTTGGGTCGATTCCATTGCCGAGGGATCCCGGGCAGCAGGGCTGAGAGCTGGTTTGCTGGGTGGCCCTCTTCTCAGAGGCCTTGGACGCATGCATGACCCCATCCTGACATCACTGCCTGCCTGCCTGCAACACCAGCCACAGAATTATTTGGCAACAAGGAGGCTAAGGCTGTTTTGTGGTGGCACAGTCTTGGAAAACCATAAAAAGAAAACCAAAGATGCCCGCAGGCGACTTCCGCCCAGGGCAGCGCTGCTACTTGTCTGAGGCGGGGTTGACCTCCACTATCTCCTCATACTTTGGGGGCGGGTCACTGTAAGTGACACCAGCCTCCTCCCGGGAAGCAGTCGCCTCCTCATAGGATGGGGGAGGGGTGGCACTGCCGAGTCTGCAGAGGGGGAGCTCGGGGAGGTAGAGGGTGCTCGGGAGCCTGACCGTGGCCCTGCTTCCATGACCGGGCCCCACCACCACCTGCGGGTAGCTCCTTGCTCCCCGGTGCCCAAGGGACTCTGCCGGGCCATGCGTAGTGCCACGGTACACCATGACCCGAGGGAGGTTGTGCCCAGCACGACTGGCAAGGTACCGGTTCTGTGTGTAGGAGGGGTGGTGATGGGCGGCCTTCTGCAGCTGACACCGCCAGATGATGAACAGGGCGACAACAATCAGCAGCCCCACCCCCAGCAGCGGCACCACCACGTACATGGCGTCTGAGCTGAGCACAGGGTCCTGGACAGGGCAGACTGTGTCCTCTTCCCAGGACTCGATCTGCAGAAAAAGAGCAAGTGTCACCATCACCTAGAGAAGCTGGTGCAGTGGGAGGCCACCCCTGCACACATGGCCATCCTCCAGGAGCCAGAAAGGACATTACTCTGCTCCTCCAAGACTTCCCACCCGCCTGAGAACCCAGACCCGGTCCTCAGAACCCCATCACTGAAGCTGTCCCGACCGCCCTGCTCTCATGGCTGTAGGCTTCTCCCACACCTGGCTCCTCTGAGAACTCTCTGGCATGAAAATGGCTTCGAGAGGGAGTGGGCCTTTCTGGTCACCAGAAACACTGCCGAGAGGGGCCATCTGAGGGCAGGGAGAGGTCATGACTGGACTCCTTCCAACCAGACTCAGCTCTGAGCCAAAGCTCATCATGGAGGCTACAGGCCAATGGTGTCACCCCAGACAGCAACTCATGGTAGCACATTACCCATCAATCCTCCTGGGACTGTCTGCCATCAAGTCCAATGTGACTCATAGCAACCCCATGGACAATAGCTCTGAAGCCTGCCCTGTCCTGAGCCCGTCTGACTCCAACACACCAACCCCCATCGCCCCAGTCACTGTATCAATCCATCTCACCCGGAGTCTTCCTCTCCTGCGCTGTCCCTCCATCCTTCAGAGCATGATGTCCTTCTCCAAGGACCAGTCCTTCCTGGCCACATGCCCAAAGCGTGTGAGACAGAGCCTCAAAATCCTACCCTCCGAGGAGAGACTTGGTTTCACCCTCTCCAAGACAGACCTGCTTGATGTCCTGCTGGTCCAGGGAATGTTCAGCAATCTTCTCCAGCACCACAATTGGATTGCATTGTTTCTTCTTTTGTCATCCTTAGTCATTGTCCAGCTCTCTGATATATATCAAGTAATTGTGAAGACTATGGCACACCTTAATCTCTAGATTGACATTGTTGCTCTTTAGTATTCCAGAGAGGTGCCTGACAGCAGATTTACCCAATGTAACATGTTGTTGTTGTTGTTATGTGCCATAGAGTCGCTTGCGACTCATAGCGAACCCATGTACAACAGCTCTAAACTCTGCTCTGTCCTGTGCTAATCTCATTGTCTCCGACACACTCATCCCGATTGCCCCAGTCACAGAATCAATCCATCTCCCAGAGGGCCTTCCCCTCCTGTGCCTGCCCTCCACCGTCCCAAGCATGATGTCCCTCTCCAAGGACCAGTCCCTCCTTACAACATGACCAAAGTATGTCAGACGAAGCCTCAGAATCCTTGCCTCCAAGGAGCAGCCCAGTTTAACCCTCTCCAGGAAGAATCTGTTTGTTCTCTTAGCAGTCCATGGTACCCTCAGCACTCTTCTCCAACACCACAGCTCAAAAGCATCAATGCTCCTTCTAGCCTCCCTGGTCATTGTCCAGCTCTCTGATGCATAACAAGTGATTGCAAAGACCATGGCCTCTACCAGATGCACTTTAGTCTCCAGAGACACATTGTTGCTCTTGAGTACCTTAGAGAGGTCCCTAACAGCAGACTTTCCCATGGCAATACGACTTTTAATTTCCTGGCTGCTGGTGTCAAGAGTGTTGACTGTGGAGCCAAGCACACTAAAGCTGTTCACAACTTCAATCTCTTCTCTATCCATCCTGATGCTGCTAATTGGCACAGTGGTGAGAATCTTTGTCTTCTTGACATTGAGTCTCAATCCATATTGAAGGCTGCAGTCCCTGACCCTCAGCAGCAAGCACTTCAGGTCCTCCTCAGTTTCAGCAAGCAGGGTTGTGTCATCTGCATAACACAGATTGTTGATAGATCTTCCACCAATCCTGGTGCCACATTTCATGCAACATGTAGAATATTTTTATTTGATTTTTTTTTTGCAAGGGGCGGGGGGAGAGGCTGCTTTAACAATAAGTTCATGGTCTTGATCTAAAAACTCTTCACAGAAAATTGGTTCAGCTGTTGGCAGCCCACTCCAGAGCTCTGAGGACGCCTGGAGCCTTCTGAGCTGCCCAAGCTTCCTTCCAGGCAAGAGACATGTAGGAGCAATTGCTCCTCTTCTTTTTAACATTGTCTTCTCACAGCCTGGATTCTCTCGTGTGGCAGCGTGTGCTCTTGGACACCTCCTCCATCACATCCGGAGCTATGTTGTTCTTTCTGTACTGAGAGAACTGTTTCTCGGAAGCATCTTCATCTTCTTCCATTAGGTAACACATATAAGCTGCAACATTCTGACCCATAGTGTGTTTCCAACAAACTTCTGCACCAAATTCCTTGCTCTCTGAGTCATAACCAGGGAGTCATGTGGTGCTGTGAGGAGTAGACAAGCTTCATCCACAGCTCCTTTCAGAGCCCCAGACACTATTTCCTATGGTAGTTCCAGCAATGCCTGCATCCAAACAGCAGGGGAAGGCACCTGGTTGGCCATCAATGCTTTCCACCATTGTATTCATCTCAAGTTACCTTCCATGTGGCCGCCATAGACCTTGTCCGTGCCAAACCTATTGAGAAGCCTGCAGGCAAGCAGCAGGTCAGTACAATATGCTGCTGCATAGATTGTCAAGCCAACTTTCCCAGCATACACTGGAAGTTCACGCGCATAGACGGCACAGACCATCATAGGCCCTTCTATGGGGGATAAGCAATCTGGCAAATTAGGTAGGTCTCTGTTGGTTACATGAACTGTCTGTCGTTCTGTATTTGAGAGTGTTGTACTTACTTATTTTCATCTTGGATTACCAAGTGTTTCTGAGAAGTCATTAGTTTTGCCCTCGCATCGTCTTCTACATTTCACTTGGTGTCTCTTCAAGTAGGCCTTGTTCTTGAGACCTTTATCAAGCCCCTTCTTGCGGAACAGAGGCGCTGTCTGTCTGTGGCTTACTGAAGACCTTCAGGCCAGCCAGCTCTACACGTGGAGGCAGAGGGAGACAGCGTGTATTTTGATTTCCTGACTGCTGGTCCAAAGGGCTGTGGAACTGAGCTAGCTGAAATTGTTAATCTCAATCTCTTCTACGTCTATCATGGTGCTACCAAATGGCCCAGTGGTGAGAATCTTTATTTTCTTAATGTTGGGCTTCAAGACATATTGAAAACTGCCATCCTTGTTCTTCTAAAGCAAGCGCTTCAGGTCCTCCTCAGTTTCAGCAAGCAAGGTTCATCTGTGGAACGCAAGTTGTTGATGAGTCTTCCTCCAGTCCTGATGTCAAATTCCTTCTCATAAAGTCTGGCTTCCAGAATGATCTGTTCTACATATAGATTGACAAGGTATGGAGACAGGATGCATCCCTGATGCACTCCTTTCCTGATTTTGAACCATGCTTTATTCTTGCTTTTTTCCTGATGACTGCTTTCTGATACAAGTGTAGGTTTTTCATGAGCACAATCAAGTGTTCTAGGATTCCCATTCTTCTCAGTTAGCCAGTTTGTTGTGATCCAGACATCTTTGCATAGTCAATGAAACACAGATTCCTGTGGTACTCTCTGCTCTCAGCCAAGATCCATCTGACATTGGTGATGATGTGTCTAGTGCCACGCCCTCTTCTAAACCCAGTTTTATTTCTGGCAGCTCTCTGTCAATGTACTGTTCCTGTTGGTTTTGGAT